ACATAAATCCACTAAATAAGTATGGTATTTACATGAAATTCACGTGATGTCATCATTTTCTATCATCGTATGTAGTCGGTTAATTCAGTTTATAAAGTCACATAAAGTATCATTCTTTTCCTTTTTTTTTTGAAAAATTAATCTTTCCCAAAACAATTATTTAATTAAATAGGAAGGGAGATAATATACTATTATAATAAATATATAAAAAAACAAAAGTGATTGAATAGTCTTCACAAACATGAAAACGAGGTTTGCCCTTCCTCTTTTGCGTACAAGGAGCTCCTACTTTTATGTGATCCATGTGCTATCTTTGATTAAGACATTAATTATTGTCTTATTTTAAAATACTAGAAGCTTGTATATTTTAATAATATCAATGTTTGAATAATCTAAAATAGATTTCCACTCTTTTTATTCCGTATATTGAAAAGTATGCGATCAACTCATTGTCGGCTATGCTACCTTCTACATCCAAGTAAAAATTAAAATTCAACATTCGATGGCCGGGTATATAATAATAATAATAATAATAATTAAACTCGTAAATGTGGCTCGGTGAGGCTCTTTGGGTGAACAGTAAATTTAGACATTCTGAATTTAATTCTAAGTTCAAACGCAAAAACACCCGTATTTAAATATATGTGTGGTCAGTAAAAAAAAAATACTTAAATTTAAATAATATGTATAATTTAAAAGTCATGTTTAAATTTTTGTAGGATTAAATTGGCGTGTTAGTTTCTTACTAAGAAAAAATATATATCATATTGATTAATGAATCATTCTATTATTTGAAATTAATTTACAATTGGATTAAAAGTTTCATTTAAATGAGAAATATCAGAACTTTGGATCCTTTTTATCTCAAGTTAGGGGTCCAACATTAATTAGACAAGACACAAATACTATGAGTCTCACAAATGGTACTGTGTACTGTGTACCATCAAGAAAGATGTTCACATGACAAATTCAAAGCACTCATCATTGTACAAATATCTCCCTCTTATCTCAAAATAATTCCATATTTCTTGAGATGTCTCCAAAAAAAAAAAAAAAAAAATGTCACTTTTAGGTATAGGTCAATGTAATATATTTTTTTCTTCTAATTAACAATGTAAATTTTTACATTTTAGAGGCTAATAGTCTTCAAATGATAAAAGAAGAAAATGTATTAGATGACCAAAGGGCTAGTGGCTTAACGATATCAGTTTCTTACCTCTTAAAGGAAGGTTAAGGATTCAAGTTTCAAAAGAGATAAATGTGTGTGAGTACCAATTTAAAAATAATAAAAAAAAATGTATTAGACATGTATTCCAGGTAGGTAGGGTTGCACACCCATCTGGTTTAGTGCGATTTTCGATTAAATTGGAATCAAATTGATTCTAATAGTTCCTAAAAAATAAGAATGACAATTGGAACAGTTGATGCTCGGAACCGAGCCGTGAAAGTCCGGTTCGATTCGGTTTCGGACCACAGTTCTTTTCTCTTTTTCTTTTTTATTTTTATCTCTAAAAAAGCCCAATAACTTACTACCAATGACATGGATTCGGCTTATCAAAACAAATACAAATTTATACAACAAATGGACAATAATAAACACCTTAACCAAGGAATAAAATATATTTGTAATTTAAAAGCAAATGAGCTATTATCTTATTTTTGTGAAATAAAAATGAAAATTACAGTAGCCTTATATGTGTAATCTAAACATATTATGGTGTATTTGCGTGTAATTTTATATTTGTGACATATATTATATTATTATTTATTAATATTGTAATATATATATATATATATATATATATATATATATATATATTAGTTTACGATTCAGTTCAGTTCAGTTTTAATGTATAAACTAACAGTTCCTTATTTTGGAACCGTAAAAGAGCCAAACCAAAATGACAATATAATTCTTACCGGTTTCACGATTTCAATAATTGTTTTGTGCCTCTAGTAAGTAAAATGATATTTTATGTGACAAGATCTAACCAAAAAAAAAAAAAAAAAAGACAACACTTAGTGTTGATCATACATGAATGTATCAAACAAATTTATTTTTATCCGTCCGTATAGTCAAATTTCAATCTTATAATTACTCTTATTCTCCAATTTCAATCATAAGACATCATTTTTTACTATTAAAATAATATTTTAGGTTCTTTTGAAGTCAAAGATCGACAATGATTGGTCTTGATTATTATTGTTAATCGTTAAATGATGTGAATTTTAATGATTGAGAACTGACCGTATATAATGTTTGTTTCAAGTTTCAATGTTGATTATACACGTAAGGGGGATAGTTATTTTGAGACTGACAGTAGAAGTCACGTGTTATGGTAGCCTTGCATGAAAAACACATATAACGCACCTTTCTTTTCAAACCAGACCGCGGAAAGCGTGCATTGCTTCGGAATTTGGGATAAATCACGTGGTTAGGTTCATGCACGCTTCGCACGTGTAAGACCCATCTAAGTTTAATTTGACAAAATGACTAATTCACCCTTCGTCATTTACTATATCTTGCAATTTACTAACAACATGAATAAAATGACTAATTCACCTTTTGTCATTTACTACTGTCTATATCTTGTACTAATCACTTGAAACATGCAAAATCTTTCACTATCTGCCGTTTTTAATCTCACATTTAACTTAAATCTTTAAAGGGTAATTTATTGTCACAACACTCAAAACCCTCCCAGTTAAATTTGAGAACAAACACTAAAAATGGTACTTTTTAGACTTTAATTTGTATAGAAAAATTTACTCTGACGACACTCACAACCCTCCATATTAATGTTGAGGACAAGGACTAAAGATGTTACTTGTTAGTTTGGCATTTTTATACTATGTGTAAGTGTGTGTGTGTGTGTGTGTGGGGACAAGTGATTGGGGCACTTCAAATCTTTATTTGTGAAGCACTCTCCCAACTACAATGGCTCTATATAACTCATTGTTTTTTGTTTTGCATCCTTTTTTGCAAATAATAGAAGAATCATATCCTCACTAGTTTTTCACTCTTTTTTTTTTTTGGTGAGTGGACTCATCCATAAATATTGATACAACTGTTAAAATTGAACAAAATGCCTTGTGATTTTAGTATCTGTGAGATAAATGTAACATTTATGGTAAATTTCAAAATATGAAGTGAGAAATAGTTGTTCCAACAAAATCTTGGTTAATGTATTTTTTGTTATGGAAGTGAAAGAGTTTTTATTGATCCGAGTACTACATTGGTAGGTATACCGAAATAGTTAATTTTTTTTTTAAAAAAAAAAAAAAAAGTAGAAAAGAGTACCAATTCCTTTCCCTTTTCTTATCTTTATTTTCTTTTTGGTAAAACCCTTTCCCTTTTCTTGCTTTCTTTTACCAAACAAGTTAATAAAACTAACAACAGTCATAATTGTACTATAAGATTATCATTTACTAAAGAGTTATAAAATTTGTTTCTTGGCAAGGTAAAATAAATAAAATGGTATACAATTTACTCATAAAAATTCAATACATCCAAACTGCCTTATTACTATTTCTTTTTCTTTTTCTTTTTCTATTATTATTTCTTTTTCTTTTTCTTTTCTATCTTTAATTTGATCCTTAATTTAAACTCTTAAATTCTTTTTGGCAAGCGAATCTGCAATAATTATCCGTGAAACAATATTATATGACACATAGATTATTTTATAATTTAACTTTTTAATTAAATTTTTTTGGCACGCGAATCTGCAATAATTATTTGTGAAATAATATTATATAATGGTCGTACCTATAATTATTTTTTTAAAAATAATTATTTTATAATTTAAAATTCTTAATTATCTATAAAATAGTATGACAGTCGTACCCATAATTATTTTATAATTAAAATTCTTAAGTTCTTTTGACAAGTGAATTCAGAGTAATTATCTGTAAAATAATATTATATGACGGTTGTACCCATAATTATTATTAAATAAAAAATTCTTAAATTCTTTTGACAAACGAATATGCTTCAATTATCCATCAAACAATATTACATGATGGTCGTTCTTATAATTATTATATCATTTAAATTCTTAAATTCTCTTGACAAGCGAATCTACAATAATTATCGGTGAAACAATATTACATGACAGTCGTACCCATAATTATTTTATAATTTAAATTTTTTAAGTTCATTTGGCAAGCAAATTCGCAATAATTATTCATGAAATAATATTATATGACTATCGTACCCATAATTATTTTATAATTTAAAATTCTTAATTTTTTTAGGCAAGCGAATCCGCAATTATTATCCATGAAACAATATTACATGAGGTCGTACCCATATTTATTTTATAATTTAAACTTCTTAAGCTTTTTAGGCAATCGAATCCGCAATAATTATATGTGAAACAATATTACATGAAAGTCGTACCCATAATTATTTTATAATTTAAAATTCTCAAGTTCTTTCCCCAAGAGAATCCACAATAATTATTTGTGAAATGTACCCATTATTATTTTATAATTTTAAATTTTAAATTCTTTAGGTAAACGAATATACAATAATTATCCATGAAACAATATTATATGACGGTCATACCCATTATTATTTTATAATTTTAAATTATTTAGGTAAACAAATATGCAATAATTATCGATGAAACAATATTATATGACGGTCATACCCATAATTATTTTATAATTTAGTATTTTTTAGTTGAATATAAAAATTATATTAAACATTGAAATTGGAAACTAAAATTGTTCATTCCATCAATCCAACTAGTAAAACCGAAAAGAATTGCCAATAAAAATGGTAATTCATAACCTAAATATTAAATTCAAGTGAACTGGTTAAGTGGTAAATATGGTCTTTTAATGTGTTTATTGACCAAGGGTGGTGTGCCCTGATTATAAAAAATACGGTCTGCCCACCGTATTTAAGGGTGCCTAAATTATAAAAATATGGCCTGCCAAACCGTATGTATTTTTCGGTATAAAAAGTACACTCTATCTATTTGTTGTTTTTCCTACCTTTTTTTTTCTCTCTCTATACTTTCTCTCTCTTCCCTCTCTCTCTCTCTCCTCTCCTCTCTATATTTCCTGGTTTACCGAAGACTGAGTTGGTTTCCGGCATTGACTGGCCTTCAAAGCACCCTACTCCGGACGCATGCACACTCACAGATCGGTGAGCTGAGCTACACTTAGTAAATTTCCCAATTTTAATTTGTTTTTCATATCCATTTAAAGTAGATGATTTGCATTTTCCCGGAAAATCACACCTGAGATTCTATGAAGATTATGGGGTTTAATTTAATTGTTAATTTCAATCATTACCCATTTATAATAGGAATTAAATCCACCAAATTTTCCCAGATTCAGCAAATTGTACTACTTGTGATTTGTTGTTTTGATTTGTTTCCATTGCTTTGCATTTTGTGTTTATGTTCTTTGTTTTTGGGTGTTTGCTAATTAGTAAAGATAGCTGGGTGTGTAGTTGTTGAGAAATATATTTATTTTTTTCAGAAATGTTTCTTGGAATTAAATTTTGATGGCATTGATTGCATGGATACTATTCTGTTTTGTTTTGTTCTTTTTTTTTTTTTTCCCAGGAAAAACGCTCTGTTCTGATTACAACAACCTTTGTATTACATGCTCCTCATGCTAGGTGGAGATTGTTTAGGTGAGAAATGTGTTTGGGGGTTTTGGTAGGGTAGGTTCAGACAATGGATGGGGATTGGAGTGAACAAGGGTTTACTGAGAAACCGGGAATTCGGCGATTCGCCGCAGAATTTTGGTCCTGAGGGTTAGACTTGGTTTTACAGAAGATTATAAGTAGGAGAAAACGAAGTGGGGTTTTTTTTTAGGGGGGGTTTCGTTGGTTGGATCGAATAAAGGATGAATTTTGGGAGGGGGTTTCCAATTCCACCTGAAAATGATATCCAGATTAGGGGTTCTTGGATGCCTGTGACACCAGATAAGCCCATTCTTCAGAGATCAAATTCGATCCCGGTTGAGAGGCAAGGGAATCGGGTTGAAAGAGGAGATTGGCAGGAATTGGTTGGAATGTATGAAGGGGTTTTACAGGAGAAGACGAATTACAATGAGGGAGTTCCAAATTTCAAATCCATAGAACAAATGGGTGCGAATGGAAATTATTGTAATCGAGTTGCTGCTCCTGCGTCCGAGAGGGGAAGCTTCAATCACAATGTTGGTTCCTACACTCAGAACTTTAGAAATGACAGTGCAGCTTGGAATAATGATCCTTCGGCAGAACTACTGGCAACCAACAATATAGCATCCGTGGCTTCTACAAATAGAAGTCCAAACAGCAGTGTCCATGTTGCAAACGGACCTTCGTTTTGGAATTCATGTTCTCAAGTTGACAGCAATTGGACCGAGTCCTCCTCTACTAGTTCGTTGCGTACAAATCAAGTTCAAGCCTGTGGTCCAAACCAGTGGACCAGTACCGAGTCTAACAGCTTAATGCAGCTGCTTATGGGTGGTAAGTGATTTAAACTGTTTTCTTTTATTCAGATTCAACTTCTGATCTTATTTCTCAGTACTAAGAACAAACAAAAATGAAAAAGATGAGAGAAAAAATGATGAAAAGAACTTTTGGAGGCCTTTGAAAGTTGAAACCAAATGGCAACACATATGTATTTTTAAGCTCATTCCATTGTGTGCAAACAACATTTACCATGGTTCAATCTAAAATTGTGTTAGATGTTAGTGCAACATAGAACCAAAAAAAGATGTTTTATTCCAACATTTGTGAAAATATAAAAATGTTTTATTCTTTATAATAATACATACTTGTGGCCTAACAAGCACGGACACTTCTATGAGGTGTCGTGTCTGTGTCAGACACTGACACTTCATGAACACTCCTGAACATGTTTCCGGCACTTCATGACCGTGTCCGTATTTTGAAAAATATTTTTATTATTTTAAAAACTTGGCCGACACATTCCGAACTCTCGACAAAATATCACACACTGTCTTATATAAAAAAAATTATGGCAGTCCTAGAAATAACATTATGAATGTATATCAAACTGTTCAACTTGTTTTTCTTCATAAATTTGACATTAAACACATTTCATAGTATGTAATATGAACAAAAACATAATTACAATGACACAATATAATAGTAATATCATATAGATATAACATATTCTTTTTTATATTCAAATTGATTCCCCTTCTAACTTTTGTAACTTTAGTATAGAAATTATAAAGTAATTAAAGTTCTATAATTGTCTTATTCAGTATACATATAAATGAAAATTTATATTTATATTAGTTGTGTCCACATCGTGTCCATGTCATACTTTTTTAGGATTTATCATGTTGACATATTATGTCGTATCATGTCCGTGTCTGTATCCATGTCCATGCTTCTTTATCTCATAGCAATAATTCCTCCCGTAAGTCATAAATGATTAATTACAAATATCTTTTAGATTTCATCCCTCAATATTTTATTAATCTTTATACTTATAGTTTACAGCAAGAGGTTTATTTCCATAGTGACCCCCATTACGTTAAATGATTTTTCAAATGCTGCAAAAACTAAATGGACGTTTCCCATTTGGCATCTAACACCAGAAAAGTGAATCATTGTGACATACCGTTTACAAATTCCATGTTCCATTTTACATGAAACTATGAAAGAAGATTTTCATTTTTGGGATTGTCACACTTCCTTGAAATTTTCAATCATGTGAAGTGTTTTCCACTTGAATTTCCCAACATAGCTGATAAATGGAACTCTAGTGATCTGTAAACAAGTTTGCTACACCTAGTAATGGGGAATAAACAAGAGACTCCTGTACTATTAAGGAGATAAAATAACTACCATGAAATTCCGACACATTTTCTCGCTAATCAAATTGAGTTTTCCTCCTCTTGTAACAACTTCTTGGCTAACTACTGATGACTAATGGAGAACTGTTTTCTTACAGAAGGATTTGATGTCCCTTGCCAACGCAACTATAATTTAAATTCACCACCTAGATCAGAAGCTGATGCAGCGTCGAGCGTAACCAATTCCTTCCAATTTGCTCCAGAAACACCAGATCAGGTGAAGCAGTTTGAAAGCTACCGTCTTTCTGAGAGACTGAATTTCTCAGTCGATGAAAGCTCAAGTCAAGAAAAAGATAAACAGGAGAATATATTCACATCTATCGGAAGTGAAGCCATTGAGAACCACTCTGACAATCTCTTACAAATCATTGTGGACTCATCATCTGCTGCTATTTCTACACCATTGAAGGAAAAGAACAGTTCTGACCAAGGAGGTGACCAGGGCATTGACCTGAATGAGACACCCCAGCAGAAAGCACCAAAGAGAAGAAAGCACAGACCGAAGGTAGTTGTGGAAGGAAAACCCAAAAGGACTCCTAAGATGACAACTCCAAGGAATAATAATTCCAAGGAGAATCCGTCAGGAAAGAGGAAGTATGTGCGCAAGAATGGCCCCAATGCCCCAGCAACTCAGTTGCCAGATGTTACTAATGAAGTGACAGTTCCTAATGTTGGGTCTGAAGGAAAATCATGCAGGAGAGCTTTGAATTTTGACGAGGAAAACGGAACAAGGGATGAAGGGCAGGAAAAAGGAACTAGTCACCAGGCAGAAATGCAACAAGTGAATAATAATTCCAAGGAGAATCCGTCGGGAAAGAGGAAGTATGTGCGCAAGAATGGCCCCAAGGTCCCAGCAACTCAGTTGCCAGATGTTACTAATGAAGTGACAGTTCCTAATGTTGGGTCTGAAGGAAAATCATGCAGGAGAGCTTTGAATTTTGACGAGGAAATCGGAACAAGGGACGAAGGGCAGGAAAAAGCAACTAGTCACCAGGCAGAAATGCAACAAGTGAATAATAATTCCAAGGAGAACCCGTCAGGAAAGAGGAAGTATGTGCGCAAGAATAGCCTCAAGGCCCCAGCAACTCAGTCGCCAGATGTTACTACTGAAATGACAGTTCCTAATGTTTTGTCGGAAGGAAAATCATGCAAGAAAGTTTCGAATTTTGAAGTTCAGGAAACTAGCCACCAGGCAGGAATGCAACAAGAGAATAGGGCTGCTTTCGATCTGAATTTGGATTCTCAAGCCACTGACTTAATGAACAGCAGATCCCAAACAAAATTAACCATGCAGATGCAGCAGCAGAATGGATATGTAATGGAGAACCAGCAAGCAGGAATTGCATGTAACCTTAACCATTCCATGAATCAAATGCCGGCTGGATCTATATCATTGCAAGCAAGTTGTGCCCCTGCAGCCCCATCTGCTGCAACTCCAGAACATGCTTTAAATGTTCTTGCAAGAAGTTTAAGCATGAAAAATTTTACTGTGTACCAAAACGGTGGCAAAAATGGTTACAGTCAGGTGCATCACATCCATGGAAAGGAATTGAGCGAGGGTGTCATTCAAGCAAATACTACTTGCAAAGACCTTGAGAGAAACAGACAGCTTATGTGGCGGAATAGCCCTCAAATGGCAGCGCTCGATGTGGCAAATGCTGATGAAAAAAGGGGATCCAAGAGAGAATATTGTCATACTGCTGAGCAGACACATTCCTATACTAAAATTTTGACAGGTTTTCCATTGTTTTGCAAGGAGCCTTACCTGATTGATAATAATAACAGCAACGGCAGCAATTTTGGCACAGGTTTCCCAGAGACTAACAAGAAAAAGAGGAGTGAGAATGGGTATCATGCAACTAGATCCAGCACACCTTGTATTACAGCAGTTGAAGATTGTTCAAGGCAAGTGGCTGCAAGCAGAAATGGCACATGCACCAACAGTTTGACATCAAAAAACAGTAGAATATTGGATTCTTACATTGAAAAAACGAAAACCACTAAGAAGCTGAACAATTGGGTCAACGGTACTGCTTGTGACTGGTACACTAGCTCCATGACCGCTGAGGATAATTTCCAGAAGCAACTTTCATCTGAACTACATTCACACACAGAAGGGACGGCAGAGAAAAGATCCTACAGTTCCACTCGGGACCATGACCTCACCTCCCAGACTGCAGTGACTAACTGGAACCTGCTGTCTTCAAATCCTTCCAAAAAAGCCCCTGCATCTGATCATATGCGGGTAAGTGGAGCTTTACATGCTAATATGTCAGCAAAGAAGCACGTTGTGGGAGCAACTTCATCCAAATTAGAGTCTTCCACTGCACATGAACTGCTTCTGCAAGAGAACAAGGATTGCTTTCATGGTAATTGTCAATTCACCATGACAACAAGAGGTACGTACCTATTTGTTCTGGAAGATTAAAGCTTTAGCATCAATGACACTTAAAATTTCAATTTTAAATAATAACAGCTGTTTCTCTGAGTGTTTTGTTCAGGCCCACAAGAAAAGCGAAAATACCGCCTAATTACAATTGATGAAATCATATACCAACTGGAAGGTCTATGTATCAACGGAAGGAGCAACATATTAGTTGGTCAAGAGCAAAAGGCACTTGTTCCATACAAAAGTGATGGCACAATTGTTCCATATGAAGGATTGGATCCTATCAAAAAACGAAAGCCACGGCCTAAAGTGGACCTTGACCCGGAGACAAATAGAATCTGGAAACTCTTGATGGGGAAGGAAGGAAGTGAAGGAGTTGAAGCAGAAAACAAGGAAAAGTGGTGGGAAGAAGAAAGGGAAGTGTTCCGTGGACGAGCGGACTCATTCATTGCGCGCATGCATCTTGTTCAAGGTACCACTCATACCAGAATAAGTGCCCTATATCTTTGTCCTCAAAATTGTAGATCATTCCAAAAGTCATTAGATTTCATACTTTACAGCCTAGGGTGCGACATGTTTACTTTTCCATTGTATTTTATGAAGTACCTTCTTTCAGGCCCAAATATATCATTATGTCATACAAATATCATGCTAAGCTACCAGAGAATGAAGTTTGTCAATAAACTTAAAATCAAATGAAATATCCTCACTGTATCACAAAGCTAGAAAGACACTAAAGCATGTAAGCAAAATCTGAAGGTGCACAAAAAGCAATTCAGAAAAGGCAAGACATAACAAATTATGCTATTCTTTGTCTTATATTATAAAATCTGATAAAAGAAGCAAAAGTGCCAAACTATTTTTTTAGGATTCTTTCCAAAATCTCTTCAAAAATAGAAAGTATTACTCAAATTGAACCAAGAATAGACATACAAACCAATTCTCTAGAATTGTCAAGTGCTTTTAAAGTTAGAGATCTACATGTACTATACAAGTGACCATTCCTTGGTGCAATGGTAAATCCTCGGGTTTCATGCATGAGAAAGTGCTGTTCAAGTATTTTTAAGTAGCCACTTTATGCAAACAATGCCCAACAGTTTGGCCTGTGTCAAATCTACCCCTAACAAAATCCCAAATTGTGGGACCAACACCAAGTAATAGCCTTTTTACTTGCATGTATTCAACCAAAATCATAACGTTACTCTTCACAGGAGATAGGCGCTTCTCACAGTGGAAAGGATCAGTCGTCGATTCAGTAATAGGAGTCTTCCTCACTCAGAATGTTTCAGACCATCTTTCAAGGTAACACCAAGACTAACGTATTTCTCTGCTCGAAATGCCTTTAAAAGTAAAATGAGAAATCAATACAAATCGATAATCTATGATGATTTCCTTTCCATTGTATGTAGCTCTGCTTTCATGTCTCTAGCAGCAAAATTCCCCCCTCAGGTGACAACAACCAACGAAACAAGCTATGAAAGTGGGACAAGCATTTTGGCTGATGTAGCAAAGGGTGGAATGCGAGACACCAGAGGCACCATTAGTTATCCTGAAAAGATAGCAGGGCAACCATATCACAACCAAAGCTCCGTGACATCCTGTGAATCATCACAGTACAGAACAGACAATCTTACCACAGGAACAAGTTTAGCAAATGAGCTGAACGGGAGAGCTGAATTCATTTCATCACAGCATTCTTTTGTCTCTCTTCTTCAAGCCAATAGAGAAATCAGATTCAATTTGGGTTCCAACTCAGAAGTAGAAGATCAAACTACGGGGTTCAAATCCAGCAATGCTCGTGGTTCTACCCCGGTAAATCCTCTACATATCAAGAACTCCGCCAGATTCGAGCACTACTACAGCGATGGAGTTGGGAGCTCTTTTTTAAATGGTAGCTCCAAGCAGTGGAATGAACAATCAGGGGATACAGAATATAACAAGCAAATTCCAAGATTGTACAAAGTTAATGACCTGAGAGGCTCTTCTGTCTTTACTCACCCGACCAAATCTGGCATTCCCAATATGAAAGGACCATTTGTTCCGTCCAGTAATTTTCAGTTGCACATGATGCCAGATTCAAGAGTATTTGATGTAGATTATTTTAGAGTTCTGGATGAACAAGGCACGTCTTCTTTTCCTTCCACTGCTTCTGGAATTATTAAGGCAAAAGGTGGAGACTATATGAGCAAAAGGATTGGACATATGGCAGAAAGTACATATACTGTCCAACAGAATGGAGAACCGAGGATTCAAGCAGCTGCAACAGCTGCATTTCAAAACAAATACCCCATGCACCAAGAGAGATACTCAGAACAGGCACCTCACACTGCCATCAACACTCAGCAGCAAGAGAGATTCAGAGATTTTCAACTGGAAAGCACATCGGTTAAAGAACCTATAAAGCCAGCAGAAGCACTTTCTGAAAAGCAAACTGGTATCAGGCAACAAGTTTCTGATCCTAGGTTCACAGCACAAACCTTTGGTTTGGAAGAGAGGATGTCTATAGCAAATAAGCAGAAACACTTGGAGAATAAAGCAGTTGAGGCAGACACAAGAGAGCAAGTTGATTCTTCTAGTGAGGCATTTAGTGGGACAAGTACCAATATCTCGAACATGAAAAAGGGTAAGGCTGAGGGTGACAAGAGGAAACTATTTGACTGGGATAGCTTGAGAAAAGATGTGCAACCTAATGGTAGAAGAAAAGAGAGAAGCAAGGACTCAATGGACTCGCTGGACTATGAAGCAGTACGACGTGCTGACGTTAGTGAGATTTCTAATGCTATCAAGGAACGAGGAATGAACAACATGCTAGCAGAGCGAATCAAGGTATGAATATGTTAAATTTGTTTTCTGAAGTTTTAATACTTTTCGAGACTAGCTTCAAACAGCTCCACTGATGAATAAATGTAGAAAGCCTTAAAACAAGTGACTAAGGATTGTAAGATGCTACAGGATTTTCTTGATCGACTGGTTAGCGAACATGGAAGCATTGACCTTGAATGGTTGAGGGATGTTCCCCCAGACAAAGCAAAGTAAGTCCCCTCAAACCAATTTGTAATCATGCATGCACCTACTGCCACCATTATGAAGGAAAAAAAAAAAAAAAAAAACACTTATATATGATATTTAATGCCCGTGGTATATCACAATGAACTAAATACACAAAACTCATATTTTTCAGATTTCTGTGAATATTTTATGCTGCAGGGATTTTCTTTTAAGCATACGAGGATTGGGGTTAAAAAGCGTGGAGTGTGTACGCCTACTAACACTTCATCATCTAGCTTTCCCAGTAAGGTTCTTGTGAAAATTACTGGCCATTTACATCCGTAACAGAGATGAAATAAAACTTAATATTTCGTTTTGTTAGGTCGACACAAATGTTGGACGAATTGCTGTAAGATTGGGATGGGTCCCTCTCCAACCACTGCCTGAATCACTTCAATTGCATCTCTTGGAACTGTAAGTAATACATGCTAACTGATCGGCACTCAACCTTTTCCATTATACAGAGATGCTAATCACTTTCCAAACAGGTACCCAGTGCTTGAGTCAATTCAGAAATATCTTTGGCCCAGACTGTGCAAGCTAGATCAGCGAACATTGTAATTTTCAGAACTCTCCCCTAGGACCATTCATATCAATTGAGATCAGTTTCTACTTATCATCACAATAGTAGTTAAAGAATTAATCTTTACATTCCCCATGACAATTCAATGATTACTGCACTGTGAAATACAGGTACGAACTACACTACCAGATGATTACATTTGGAAAGGTATGCTATCACATTCACTTGAACTGCAATGTTGCCTCGTTGAAACATTCTGTGACTAACTATACAAAATTTTCCATGTGCCCCATTATTTGTTTTTATGCAGGTTTTCTGCACAAAAAATAAACCAAATTGCAATGCATGTCCAATGAGAGGAGAGTGTAGACACTTCGCGAGTGCTTTTGCAAGGTATGACCCCAAGCTTATGCAGTCAAAAAATTGTACAAAATAGTCATAGTATTAATATACAAATGTCAAACTGCATATCTAAGAAATAATATAAACGTTGTCTGTTCATCACAAGAGAAGGGAAGATGTTAGAATAAATACTGCCACTAAGTCACCAAGAAATCAAAATACAAGCTAATGGCTCTAAACCCATCATCATACGAACATGTTTAACGAGACATATGGAACCAAAGAGCATTAAAAGTTCTACTTACATTATAAATAAGAGTTGAACATTATTTTTTACTAAAATTTCAATGATGCAAAAAACATTATCTGAGCGCATTTCAGATCAGATCACATTTTGCTGTGTTTTGTTAAGTTGGGGAGAAAAACAATATGTAGTTCAGCTTTGCACTCACAACATGAAAGATTTCAACTGATCCTACACGTTTCTTAGTGCTCCACCGTGCCCACCAGTTCTTAAAAAGGCACTAGAGGGTAAAAGGGAGTGATGCATATCTTCAAGGGTCAATTCCTTAGAGCTTACTGTTGTTGTAGATGCACCTAGTCTAGATCATAAGCAAGACATTTACTGCCTGCAACTTATGGGATGCTGACAGAAGTACATAAATCAGTGATAACAAGGTTTAAAAACTGGTGATGTTCATGCAAAGTAACCATATTGGTCCAATAAAAACTCTCAGCAAAATATTTTTGCATAATTTATCAATGTTATTATTATATCAGGAGAAAAACGGAGGAGAATTTTTTTTATTGAAAATGCTGGAAACCTAAAAGTACAATAAAAGGAATCAATAGGTTAAATAAATGATATCCAATCAAAATGTTATAGTTTAAATTATGAGGAAAGAATAGAATCCCTTATCTTAAGTAAGTCACTGGCATCTCACTATTTCCAAGCGTAAAATACACGAGTGCATACACACACTTACAGATGTACATACAAATATGATATCTGCTGTTTGGTGCAGTGCAAGGCTTGCCCTCCCAGGGCCGGAAGAGAAAAATATAGTTAGTTCGAATATTCCCATGCCAGCTGAAAAATACCCTGCTGTGACAGTCAAGCCCATGCCTCTACCTCCAGCCGAGAACAATGCATCCAAAGCAGCAGGATTCATCACCAACAAGTGTGAACCAATTGTTGAGGAACCAACAACACCAGAACCAGAATCCAGAGAAGTATCAGAAAGTGACATTGAGGATGCATTTTACGAGGATCCTGATGAAATTCCCACTATTAGACTTAACCTCGAAGAGTTTACACTGAATCTACACAACTATATGCAAGAAAACAACATGGAACTTCAAGAAGGTGATATGTCCAAAGCTTTAGTTGCTTTGAATCCAGAAGCTGCTTCTATCCCTACACCAAAACTGAAGAATGTGAGTCGTTTACGGACGGAGCACCAAGTGTAAGTGAACACTTCCCATGAAAGCTTAACTGAATTTGAGCATGACAATAGAAACTCAGCACAATGAATCAAGTCAGATTAAATTGGATTCATATCAGAACATGTTGAACATGTTCCCTGCACTTAATTCAGGCTGTCTTTAATGTACAACTGTTCAAACCATAGCAGTTGCGAACTGTTAATAACTTTAAAGCTTTGGTCAGAAACAAGAAAAATACTAGGCATTCTAAATTATTAATTTTTTCCTTTTTTTTCCTGCATTCTAAATTATAAAAATAGGTAATGTCCTGTGAAACAGGCTAACTCCTCCCACTCTGCTGCAGGTATGAACTTCCAGATTCACACCCTCTCCTGAAAGGGGTTAGTGATTCCTCTTATAGCTAGAATTTTGCACTTGCCTATATACAGCCTAATTTATGCTCAACTAACTGTCACTTTCTAAAAACTTCAGGTGGACAGTCGCGAACCTGATGATCCAAGCCCGTACCTTCTCGCTATATGGACTCCAGGTAAGCACAGAACATATCACACCTGAAATGTAATTCTGACTACAACCTAAAGTCTCAAAAATACACTAGAAGGTACCTTACACCATCAAGGTGAAAGGAGCTCAATAAGTGAATTATATCTTCAACAGCATATTGCTGGGTATTGGGGTATGATCTATCACAGTCAGAACATAACTGACACTGATGTTCAAATTAGTCCAATGCTATTTAGTGTTTTGTTTCTAGTTACTAGAATATCATGATCTGCTCTGACTATTTACACAATTTGACACCATTTGGCAGGTGAAACTGCAGATTCAACCCAACCACCTGAAAGGTGTGGATCGCAAGAGTCAGGGAATCTGTGCAACGAGGAAACGTGTTTTTCATGCAATAGTATAAGAGAAACAAATTCACAGACAGTCAGAGGGACAATACTGGTGAGTTAATCCATACCGAGGATATATAATTACAACCACTGCCTCTAAAAGTGAAATTATAGGCTATGAGTCATCAACTGAAACCTAACTCATGTACAGATACCATGTAGAACAGCAATGAGAGGGAGTTTTCCACTCAATGGCACATACTTCCAAGTGAATGAGGTAAATCTAATTACTGTCATTACCAGTTGCAGCTTGGATGGGTTGTACAAGCAATCCATGAACACAACCCACCACATACCTTACCCAAACATTTAAAAGATAATATGTAATTCCATTCCTCCATTCATTTTCAGATCAAGTGGTATTAAAACATGTGTGCTGTTATGATGCAGGTGTTTGCCGATCATGAATCTAGTCTTAATCCAATTAATGTCCCAAGGTCGTGGATATGGAACTTGCCAAGACGGATGGTGTACTTCGGAACATCTGTTTCAACAATTTTTAAAGGTACAGGAATCAGACAACAGAAGCTTAATGCATTGCTTTCCAACTAGCATATCAAATCTTTTTTAAAAAAATGGCTTACAAGACAAATTCCTATGTTTGCCAGGCCTGTCAACTGAGGGAATTCAATACTGCTTCTGGAGAGGTATGAAATCCTATATAGATAAAGTATATTAGTTTATCCAATTTGGTCGATAGCGATGAGAAACTAACAGCTGATATTACAAAATTGGATAAGCAAAGTGAAAAGAAGTACAAATCCACACACGTGACCCCCTAGTTTGACCCACAGACCCAGCTCATATTAAAATATCCTCTCAAGCCTGTCTAGATGGAAGCTTTCAGTTTTAACTTATATGGAACAGCATTCTCCTTCCCATTTAGGTTGCAATAGAAATGCTGAGTAAGCGCTGCCTAACTGAAATAAACAAAATGGAGAAGGGTAGATTACTCCGACCTTGAAGTTTGATGATGCTAAATGAGATAAAAACTCACTTAATACATTGACACCCTCCTCCTAGAGATTGTCCAATGACTCATATGAATTGGCAATTTCACCCTTGTCTTATTTTATTACTTTTAAAATGGGGAATGCAAAAAATTACCTATATCTATTCTCTTCATATACCTCTCTCTCTCTCTCTCCAAACTTATCCAACTCTATTTCTCCATTGATGTGAATAATCGAGCCTAAATAGCAAAATGTCCATCCTTTGGTATGCAAAAGTTACAGCCAATAGAGCCAATAGACATTTTCTTATAAATATGCATCCACAATCAGAGACGTGCCTCAGTTTCTTTTTACCTCATCAGGAGGGAATAATTATTGAACCACACTTTACTTACTAATGGTATTTGAAAAACATTTTGCAGGATTTGTTTGCGTGAGGGGATTTGACCAGAAATCTAGGGCACCTAGACCGCTCATGGCCAGATTGCATTTTCCAGCAAGTAAGCTTGCCAAGGCAAGAAACGAAGGTAAAAAGTAGGCCATGCACAGTGAGGATTACTGCTGGTTTAAGGCACTGACCAAGATCTGTCAGCACCGAGAGAATTAGAAAGGGGTTGCAGAAATGAATACAGATCAACGACTAACATATTGTTGTACATCCAATTGTACCTCCTCTAACATGAGAAGCATTCACATGTAATTCAGGCGGCAGAAAGAAATTTTCAAGTTAGTTCATGAAATCCCCAGATAACTGGGCCTTAGTCTGTACATGATTCACATCATAATTATTCCCATTCATGCTCAAAAGAGAGCCCATTGTTCAAAGGTTGGCCAACATAGCAGAGAAGAGAAGTAGATGATACTCGTTCCGTATACATTTATGTATGTGCAAACAGTGAAATTTGCATTAAGCTATAAAAGGCATATGTTGCAGGCACCATCCAACGTTCGCACCGTGATAAAATGTTTTCGTCTAAGCATGAATAACATAAACAAGTTCTACATGTCAACTCTAGGGACTATGCTACAGGTGAGGACTCACAAAGTTGTGACCATGATCAACACATGCCTAATCAAGGTGAAACATTGATATTATATCTCAATGTTCAAGAAATCAATCATATCAAACCCAGCCCCCAAAACACATGCCTAAACCAGGTGATACACTGATATGTAAACCACTGAGGACTACATGAATATTATGCAAATGTACTATACACCGTACACTCGTAGACAGAGAAGTTAAAACCTGAAATCAAATACAACGAACCAACTGTTACTAACTCAAGAACACGTAGTACACACAAGGGAAAGGACACCTTCTCTAATGAATATGAAGTTGTTACTCACAACAAATGATCTACGACTCCCAAACATATACAGCAAAGAGCATATCTATAGATTCAATTAAACGATCAAGTTATCTTTGGCTCCATTAATCTGATTATCAATGTTCACAAGATTTTAATGTTCAAAATTTCAGTATTATCTTGCAAATTCATCTTGGATTCCACATTAGAGGTTTTGGAAGAGAAAGAGAGCAAGAAAATAATAATAAAAATAATAAAACAACAACAACAATGAGACAACAAGACTTACACATGTAAAGATGTTTTCCTCAGCTATGATTGGACTTCGCAGAACCTGGAGGATCTAAAACAACATTGTATTGATTGTACTTTAAATTTAAATTTTCTTTTCCCACAGACTGAAAAAATATAGATCTATAATCAAGTTGTTACTCACAAAATTAACAATGATTACTAGATAATAATGACACTAATGAATACAACAGAAAGCCTATCTACAATATATCATTCTTATATGCTTGGAAAAAAATAGGCCTAAAAACTTCCCAAATGCAACATTTTGGGAAAAAACAGGCCTAAAAACTTACCAAATGCAACATTAATGATGGAAAAAAAAAAAAAAAACAATTCTGTCTCCTGTCCCCTTCTCTAGTGATGACAATGCATCTATGTACAAATGCCAGCACAAACTCCTACAACTATAACTATCCCTGATATAAAAAATAATAATCAGACAAACTATGAGCTATATCTGTTTCAAGTGAGAGTTCAGAAAACCCTAAATTGTGTCAGCAAATAATAATTTTTAAAAAAAAAAAAAAAAAATTCATTAGAAGTTAAATGAGTTATACAAAAAATTCTATAATAGTTCAACTTATATGTAAAATATTCTGCTAATATATTTAATTTTAGCAATCCATTAAGAAATAAAAAGCCTAAAGAAAGTCATTCCCTCACGTAAGAGTTTTACTCTCAGTTATAAAACACTCTATATTAGTGATCTTTCTGTGACATATCCGACTCTAACATTCATTGTTACGAATTAATGTGGAAAAAAATATTATAATTCAAAATGTTGGAGATGATAAAATTATTCATTCAAATATAACACATGTTTATAGTTTATACTTTATATTCATAAAGGGGTTTTGCACTATCTGTTTCAAGTGAGACTTCAAAAACCCTAAATTATATCAGCAAATAATAATTTTTAAAAAAATATTATTAGGAGTTCAATGAGTTAAGCAAAAAATTCTATAATAGTTCAACTTATATGTAAAATATACTGCTAATATATTTTGATTTTAGCAATCTATTAAGAAATAAATAGCCTAAAGAAAGTCATTCCCTCACTAAAGAGTTTCACTCTCAGTCATAAAACACGATCTTTCTGTGACATACCTGACTCTAACATTCATTGTTACGAATTAATGTGGAAAAAAAATATTATAATTCAAAATGTGGGAGATGATAAAATTATTCATTCAAATATAACATATGTTTATAGTTTATATTGTAAAAACACATAGCAAATGTAATATTTACTCCAAAATAAAATTAAATATCTTTTCTTAAAATATCGATCAATCAGCAATTATTCAGATTACAGAATGTTCTGCTACAATACAAATAAATCACCAATAATATAAAATGAACTAACATCATAAATCTTATATTTTCCATTATCAAGTGTAAAGAGATTAAATTGATTTTTTTCAGAAATCTATTTCTTTTATAAATGAAATCAAAATAAAAATAAAGAAAATATAAAAAAAAAAAAAATCTTCTTTTTTTTATAAAAACTTTCTCAGTATCCAAACAAAACAATAAGATCTGTTATGTATAATAGGAGCAGAGTGAAAGAAACATACCCGATTTTCATTGAGAGATTGAATCCACTGTGAGAGTGAGAGAGAGAGAGAGAGAGAGAGTGGTATTTGATGAGAGAACGATTTTGCGTTCAAATAATTTCAATTCAACTTTTTTGTTGACTTAAATATTTTGTTTAGTTTGCCGCCTTTTCTTCTTCCCTCCTCTTTATTTGGAAATACTATGTTGACTATTGATTTCACCGAGTTTTTGTGAGGCCAACGCCTGGCGCGTACACGTGTTAAAAATGACAAATTCAATTATGATATCTGTAACTAGGGTCATTTGTTCCACGTCGGAATCGGATGGGAAAGTGATTGGATATAAATGGGTAGATATGCAGCATTACCCAATAGTTTGAGCTTTTGGATAAATGGGTAAACGTCTACCCGTTACCGTTGGTATCAGAGTCAGACCCAATCCTTGATCCGGTGTCACGCCAAGCGCCCTATCCGGAAGGCGTCTGGGTTAACACCCCGGGTAGGCAGGGTGACTCGAACCGCAACGAGGATGTTACGAGTTTAGGTGAGAGAGAATGTAATAAGGGTCATTTGTTCCACATCGGAATCGGATAGGCAAGTGATTGGGTATAAATAGGTGGGTATGCAGCACTACCCAATAATTTGAGTTTTTAGGTAAATGAGAAAGCGCCTACCGTTACAGTAACCAACTAGCCACAATTCTTGGTGTACAATTTGGACAATTCAATTATGGTAACCAACTAGCCACAATTCTTGGTGTACAATTTGGACAATTCAATTATGGTAACCAACTAGCCACAATTCTACGTGTACAATTTGGATAGGTCAATTAAAACACAACAAAAGTCACTGATTTTTCACATACTAATTAGGTTACTGTTTTTACATATATTTATAATTTTAAGCATATTACATGTTGGTCAGCCATTTTTCTTTAAAACTTAATTTATTGTTATATTAAGTTTTGAAAAATGAATTTCCTTAGAATAATATTTACATATTTTTATATACTTGTATTAATGTAGGTGCAGTTGCACGTAATGGAAACTCTATGTAAGTAAAAACAAATAACAGATAAAATAATTTAACTTAAAAGGGAAGCAGAAAAAGAAAGAAATAAAGAATTTCATGGATACTTCTCACATTACAAATGCAGAAAAAGTTATATGAAAATTTAAATTTTATTGACATTTATATAATAAAATAAGACAACACAGATGTAAGTTAATTTTAGGATAATTTAAGTGTCACTTGTATAAAATAATTTATGTTTAATAATGTATGTTTAATAAGTCATAATTTTTGGTCCATGTGGTTCAAACCACCAGACCATATGGCTTGAATCAACACCCACTTGGGTTAGGTTCATAATGAGAGAGGGAGAGAATAATGAATTGAACGATTTTACAAATGGCAGCCAAGGGTATTTATAGAGTTGTATGTGTTTGTTCATCATCAAACACAACCTTGGCGTGAATAATCGAACACAGTGGATCCAATGGTTGCACTGATTTAGATTGTTATGCCTCTTTGGTTATTCTCTGAATATCTCCATTCCTTAAACAAACATTCCCTGTACACTGACATCTCCAGCTCGAGAGAAAATGTGTTATTGAAATGATTGTATTTCCCAAAATACGTAAAACAACAGATGATATGTTAAAGGCCTGGTAGGCTATAAAATGCTACAACCTTTCACACCAAGATATCGCACCAGCATATCAATGCCTCTGTATGTAGTGACCTGCACAATTGACATTCACATCTAATGATACATAGACAACCAAAGCCATATTCATGATGTTGCAGTTCTAACGGGAAATGTTGGAAGTAAGTTTCATTCACACTTGAAACACTAGTTTTTAAAACTAGTTTCCAACCATTACAACTTTCAAAGAACTATTGAAAGGTTATTGATAAGGTTAGAATAAAATAGAAATGGAAAATGCCTTTTTTTTCCCCAAATTAATGTTGTTAGATTTGGAAGAGTGTCATGTTAATAAAATATATGACCAGAAGAACGAAAGAATGCTCCTCAGCTACATTTATTAAAGTCGATTCATCAATGTAGAACTCCTAGAAACAAAATCTAATAAATTATACAGTTTCCTAAAATATTTAGAAGATTACACGATGGATTAATCATATTAGATAAATAAAATGGTACGCATGTGGGGAAAAAAAACAATTAAACTAATTGTTGGGACACTTATAGGGTTATGAGAGGGAAAAATATAATCAGTGGTATTTTTTTGCATAAATTGATTAGATATGGAATAAATTAATATTTCAACCATCATATTAATTTTAGATGTATTAATTCTCAAGAAGACACGCCCATATCACTGGAGAAAATATTGATGCATAAATATGCATCACCCGGAATAGAACATCGTTTCTGCAAAAAAAAAAGGAGTAATGATAACCGAAACCAGGCACCAGTGGGGTGCCAGCACGGTATCATCCGACAATCAAGTCAATTTTTAAAGGTTTGTGTATTGAATAAATAAATTATGCACTAATTTTTCCATACATGATTGGTTGACTAATCTCACATTTATAACCATTTGAAGATCCGAGTTTCTCGTGAATTCAGGAGAGATTTTTTTTTGGGAATCTCATCAAACTTGCCAGCCTCATTTGAATT